CACCTAGGTTGGGTTGTTACTTTCCCCAACAACTTCAGATCCAGTCAGACGCTATGGTAGATTATGTGACAGCCCTCTCACATGCCTTGACCAAGATACATGCCCAAGTGTTTTCTTCTATTCCAGATCCTGAGTCGAATACAGGTACACACAAGCTGCTCCCTGGTGACTGGGTTATGGTCAAGAAGTTTCTCAGGAAACACACCCTAGAACCGAGATTTGATGGTCCTTATCAAGTGCTCCTGATTACAGCAACGTCAGTTAAACTAGCTGGAAAGAGTTCTTGGATACACGCTTCACATTGCAAAAAAGTGCCTGCTCCAGAAGAGACTGATCCTGTTGAAAAATGAATTTATTATGTGTCTTGTGTTTTCTTATGCTGCTACATTTTGCCTGGGCCCAACAAGTGGCCATAACCAAAGATAACCATGTTTACACTTTTTGGTACAATTCTTCTAATACTGATGTGGCTACATACACCTTTGACTATTGTGACATAGTTACTTGTACATTTCCACAAACACAACATGCAGCTGTATATAAGGACATACCTAACAAAAAGGATCCATACATTTGTGTGACTGGCGGAGGTTGGGGACACCATTGTAGTTCATGGAAAGCTGCCGGGTGGAACACAGGTAGACCATGGGGTTACAGACCTCAAGTTGCATTAGACAAACTTGACAAAGACGGGAAACCCTTGCTCTCTAGAATGACCCTGAGTAAACCCATAGGGTCAACTCCCATTAAACTCACCTTAAATATAGAACACCCTAGTCCAAGGGATGCAGGGGAGTATGTGATGGGAATGTACTGGAAGGGAGGTGGCTCACATAACGCATTAGGGACCTTTTACCTGCAAGATATGCTAAATTCTTCTGACTGGGTGGGAACTACACATATGGTCATTAACCCATTAAAACCACACATCAAAACCCTACATGACATGGTAGCCATAGCTAACCCCACCTTTGAAGATACCATGGCAGTAGAAACAGGGTTTTCAGATACTAATTTATGGCTAGAATGGATGAGGTACAACGCTAACTCACACAATAAGACTAATTGTTATGTATGCGGAGGTGCCAGACCCCATCTGGGTACAGTACCTCTGAGTTTACCTCCTGAAATAGAATTATGTGTACTGAGTTTGTATGCACAATCCACCACTAACTCCTCAACATGTGAATCTTGGAAGAAGATTTACCCAATCACCCATGGACATGTGAAACCACCTGATGGAGTCACCATCTACCCAGGTAATTACACATGCTATTCAATACCAGAGAACACTGGTTTGTATCTGGGCAAATTCCCATCAGGATACTGTTCAACTTACCATAGCCTACCTGTATCACTGCTAATGAATCACACAAAGACAATCGGTGATATATATTGGTTATGTGGTGACAAACAATTGAGGTCCCAATTAGCTGGGTAATGGTGGGGGGAGTGTGCCCTAACCAAAGTCATAATGCCTATCCATATCATTCCAGATGGGGACCATAACACGCTAAACCTCACACATATACACTCTAGAACCAAGCGAGAGACCCCTATTCGAGGGAGTTTCGACCCCCATGTGTATATTGATGCCATAGGTGTGCCTAGGGGGGTGCCTAACGAATTCAAAGCAAGAGATGAAGTGGCTGCAGGGTTTGAGTCCCTAATCCCAATGATAACTGCTAACAAGAATGTCAACTGGATTAACTATATCTATTATAATCAGCAACGCTTTGTCAACTACACAAGGGATGCCCTACAGGGCCTGGCAGAGCAACTACAAGCCACTACCCAAATGACATTCCAGAACAGAATGGCCCTAGATATGATTCTAGCTGAGAAAGGGGGAGTATGTAAAATCCTCCCTGAAACCATGACATGCTGCACATACATCCCAGACAACACTGGGCCCAATGGTAAGGTGACTATGGCCATAGAAAAGCTAGATAGTCTTGCAGACGAATTAAAGAAGAATTCGGGAGTCACTAACATATGGGACAAATGGTTTGGGTGGATGAATGGCTGGCAAAAGACCCTCTTTCAAGTAGGGACAGCTGTTCTCATGGTGTTCATTATCTTTTTGTTCTTAGCCTGTTGTATACTCCCCTGCATACAGAAATATCTGCAGAAAGCGGTGGATAAGACTGTAGATAACGTGACCCCTACCTTCATACATCAAGATATCACAGACCTCGAAGATGACACCCCACATACACCCCTACAAACACATCAGTTTAAACAGACAACTGCTTTTTTGTAGGGATAGAGTAGGGAAAGCGTCTGTCTTGACAGGTGAGTCTCACGTGTGGAGATGTAGTGGGCTAGCCACTGCGGGATACCCGCGGAGTGAAGCGTTCGATGCTTGTCAAGACAGATAGGTTGCGGGCAACTAGGGACATATTAGGGACAGCAGCAGTTGTTATGGTAAATAGCCATTTTAGGGGGGACTGTTGTGGAAATAAGGTCTGCACATATTTCCTAGTTAGAGAAAATGTCTATTTACTCATTCCACAATATATATCACATATAAAGCTAAGCACACATATTTCAATCAAGATGGCTGCTAGAAGCTTCTAACCCCTCCTTCCCCTCCCCTCCCTTCTTAACATCGACTAACTACCTCGTGTAACAAGATGGCGCCGGGAAACCGTGGGAGACCCTCATGGTCCCGGTGACATCACCTGCAGTAGGCAGAGCATTAGAGCAACCACTTAACACCTAACCAATTAATGATGTATTATTCCATGTTATCTCTGACAATGCATATGATGTAATTTTGCTATAAAAGGGACTTGCCGTCCCCTCTGAATAAACTTTCCTCAAGTTATTCAACAACCTAGAACCTGTGTCTGGTGTGAATTACTTCAGGGAGCGTGCACGCATTGTTTCATCGATTTGGCCAGGGGCAGATACACAAAGAAATAATCAATACTTTAATTGATTTTTCCACTTCAAAGTGCATGCCCCAAAATGTACCATTTACCAGATTAGCACCCAGAAAATTAGAATTTTTACAAATACGCTGTAAGCACACTATTAGACGCTTCTATTTGACTCTCAGATATAAAGTGCACCCCACTAAAATACTATTTAGCAGTTCAGCACCCAAAAAATTTTATTTAAATGTTTCTATCACATCCCCCCTGTCTCAGCTTTCCTCCAAGCTATACATGTTAAGATC